GCCTTGGGCAGAAGAAGCCCAGGGACAGTGCCCAGGCCCTGAGTTCAAGCCCAGGACCAGCAAAAAAAGAAAAAGAATAAAGACAGAAAACCAAAGAAGGAAAGATAAGGGGAAAAAAATAAGGTAAGAAAAGAAAAGCAAACAAATCTAAGAGCCATTTCAAGGTGTACCCTACCAGTACCCATTCTGCCAAGTTGTCTGTGTACTCCTCAGACCCGTAATCAGAATGGCAAAGAGATTTTATAACTCCAGTCAGTGGACTGCTGCTGGGAAGCTGTCTGTGCACAGTGAGGAAAGGTCAGGAGAGGGCACGTGTGTTAATATGTGCCATGGGGAGAGGGAAGAGAATGGACGCCATGTTCCCTGAGCCCACTACCGTAGTATGTGGGCACTAAGTAAGATCTGGAAGTGGGCCAGGGACAGGATCGGGAGGGAGTGGATCTTGCACTTAGCCCCAACTTTAGTTCTTACATCTTGTAACTATTCCTAGCCATCTTTCCCTAATTCTGCTTGACCAGAATAGTGTGGCACAGATAACTGGACTATATATTTAGTTGAAGATGTAGTCATTAATTTAATGGAGTTAATTTAAGGGAATCTGGGAGCATGTCAGAGAACAGGACAAATGGAATCTAGAGTCTTCCCATCAGGAAAGGAAAGCAGGCCTCCCACAGGTATGACCGTGGTTTGATGTAGTTGACCGACATAGAAGAGGACCTATACAGTACATTGTAAACATGAAAATGGGAGAAATCTTGTTTAATCAGTGAAGGCTGGCCTAAGACTCATAGTGCATTTATGTGTGCATGTGTGTGTTTGTGTCTTTGTGCATGCATTTCTGTGTGTGTGTCTGTGTATTTGTGTATGTGCATCTGTGTTACTGTGAAGTGCAAGCGTGGCATTTGTGGCATTTGCTAAGCAAAGCTCTGCTCCCCACCACATATCCTCAGCTCTCATGTTACCTTTCTAAAGAACATCTTCAGTACTTTTCAGCGAAAACTGTCTAAAGGAAATACGAGTAGGAAACACATTTGAAATACATTTGAAGAGGTGGCCTCCTGTCTGAGAGGGTTTTTTTTTTTTTTCGTTTTTTGTTGTTGTTGTTTTACTTAAAGAGCCATGTGAGAGTCCTAGCCTGCCACATCTTGAGTGTCTGTTCGCTGTACTTGGCCTCTCCGAGCCCAGAGGGAGTTCGCCTTCTCCGCTGTAAGACAGAGACACAGCCCCCACCCGCCACGCGGCAGACTCCATTTAGCTGGGGACTGCAGGGTTTTTATGGGCCTTGAGGGGTTTCACATACAGCCCTGGCCTTCCCACAGGGGCAGTCACGAGCAGCGAGAACTCAAGGGAGTCTGAACTTTATGAGAGGACAGGACTCTCATGTCCGGCACTCACAGAGGCGATGGGGCCTGACGGAGTCCTTGTTGCCCAACAGCCCGTGGAGGAAATGTGCTCATTCTCCCGCCCCTGGGAACCAAGACAGCATCGTGCCCCCGGCCTGCATAAGTTGTCTTATGAGCCTGAGCCGACCCATGCTGTCCTTCCTTTAAGCTACACATAGGAGCCTGCACAAACCCTACCCTAATCATTGTAATATGCTTGTGATTCTCTTTGTGTCAGCACCCACCCTTATCCCTTCTGCTTTGCTCATGGTTAACCTCTTAAGTTCTGGTTCTTGCTAAGCCTCTGGGAACCCCTGAACTTTTATTCCCTTCTAAGACTCAAAGGCACGTGTTTGCTGCTGGCCTATGTCCTAGTTTCCGAATCATACCCCAGAGACAAGGGGCTTCTTAAGTTGCATCTTCTACCACTCCCCTCATGTGGAGTGGATTTGTTTGGTGTCAGCCTCTGGGCCAGACACTGTACTGGAGGTGGTGGAGGCAGAAATGAAGGAAGCTCAGCTCACACCCTGAGAGGCACCAAGACCTGAAGGAGATACCCGAATTTAAACAGATAGCCCAACTGTGAATAAGCAGGACAGATGATAAATGGACCTAGATGATGGCTAAAACAGGATGCCTGTTTTAGAGGGAGAAAGTTGGCCAAGGGAGTCGGTCACAGCATAGTCAAAGACATGGAAGTGTGAATTCATTACCATGTCCCACACACCATTAACCTCCAAAACAGAAGACGTAATGACTAGTAAATGTGGACTTGAGAAAGTCTTCAGTCCTGGATTCTCCTTTCCTTCTCCAGAGTTGGGGCAATGTCTGTAGGGAAAGCATCACTTTGTGATTCAGCAAGGGGCCACTCCACCTGACTTCAGGGAACCCTGATGTCCATGGCAATTCCACTGGGAACTTAGGATGCTTTCAAGTGTGTGCGCTGCTCTATCTCAATGTCGAGCGACATCTGATGAGGACACACACATCGATTTTCTTTCTTAAAGTCTTCTTATGCAGTCCAGATCTGCACAGCTTTTCCTTCAAAGCTTATACTCAATAAACTGTGAGACTGTGACTCTAAACAAGACAACTTGTAAAAAGGCATTCACGTTGATACTTGCAAATTAAATTTATTTTGCTTTTACTTGAGTTTATTTATGAGCCAGGAACGACACTGATGGAGAATCTGTTTCCCTACTAATAACACTAAGATAGATTCAGATGCATATCAGACGGAAGCTGAGTATCAATTTTAATTATGATGAAAGGTGACATGTTATTTTTTTTCCTTGAGACAGTCATGAATTGTGACTCGGCGTGAAATGTTAATTGGAGGTCCCTCCTCCCCCTTCAATCAGAGGGGATTCCTGGTAAATAACTATTGTTCCTAGTGGGTAGTTGCTAGTAAGGAACAAACATTGACAAGGGTTCTTGGGAACATTCCAGAGACATTTCTGCTCCTTTGTCTGGAATCAGGTGCTTGTGGGCTGACACCTGGTAGTGTCACCCAATTTTAGTAAATGCCCTCCCTCCTTCCCTCCAATGCGGTATCATTGAGAGCAGTGATACTTTCACCCTCCTAACTCTTCAAAGAAAGCCTTTGCCCCCTTGTGTGGTAAGAAACAGATGACAAAGAGCATCTCTCATACCCTGGGAGGGTTCTGGTGCAATAACTTCCCCCTCAGAACCACCCTTCCTGTCTTCCGCAGCTTTTTGGGCATATGGGTTTCCAGGTTGGACACACAGACGGCTCCACTGCTCTGTAATCCAGCCAGGCACTCAGAATCCTTAAAGGCTGCCTGCAGTGGTGCCAATGTGTGCCAGCCTGAGGTCATGACCCTAATCTCGTAGGATGGATGGACAGTGGTAGGTGGCTCCCTGTGGGCTTATGGAAGGGGGGAGGGGGGTGCGGGGGGGTGGTTGTCTGGATATCTAAGGAGACTGGAGCAGCAGTGTGGAAGACTTTACTATGTCCCGTCTCAGAGTAGAACGGAGCATGGACTTGGCCTCAGGAAGAACACTGAGGTTTAGCCCACACTGCAAACACAAGTTGTAGGGTTTCAGGGTCCAAGAGGGCCCTGAAAACAAAGGACCCATCAGAAACAAAGTACCTTCTCCTCCCCGCTTCCAGAGGCCTCAGATGTTGGTTCTGCAGAGTGGTCAACAGTCCCAGGCCCCGAATAAGGAGCTACAGTTTGGGTAGTGGTCGTAGAGACTAAGATTTATCCTCTCCTGGTCTATAGACAGCAGGCCTCCTTGGCGAGGAGGCAGTGGGTGGGGCCAGACACATTTCGTGGACTTACTCTGGTGAGAATCAATCTGAGACATACTGGGAAGATACCCCCTGGAAGCGAGGACGGGGTTGTTGATACTCAGCAGCTCTGAAGAAGGGAAGAGGCTCCAGTCAGCCAGAACCAGAGGCACAGGGGTTGAAGCCTGGCGACAACAATTTATTTGACAACAATTTCTTTCTGGCACCAGGCTGGTATATAAATTATCTTTATAGGAGTCCTCTGGTTGAGTGTCTCTAGAGTATGGTTTTTTTTTGAAAAAGATTATTTTATTACAAAACGTTAATCAAATGAGATTTGAGGTAAGATGTCATCCTTTGTTCTAGTAGTTAACCTGTGTGAGCTGGACCAGGCTCTTCCCTTCAAGGAGAGAAGTGGATTGGTTGGTCTCCAGGGGAATCTCGCTGCGCATGGATGGACACTGGGAATCCTGTGGTGGTGTAGCTGTTTGTTTGAGCTCAGTTGTTTCATAGAGAGATGTGGAGAAAGAGGGTTTGGGTTCTTCCCTCTCAGCCACAGTCCTGCTCTCCCTCCGTGTTTCTTCTAACCAGATCCCTGATCCATGAAGAGCCTGAGATACCAGACAGCCTTGGTGCCAGTCACGCATGGACTCTGTAAGCTGTTACGCGAACAAACGAGGCCGCCTATCCTGTCCCTAAAGTTATTTCCCTGTTCAAACAAAACCAGTTGAAAAATCTGAGCCTCGGTGAAGATAAATCAATGCTGACAGATGTTCCGGCTACAGCAATTGCCCTGTAGCTCGAGCAAGAACATTTCGTCAGTTTGCATAACCAAGATGTTAGGAAAGAGAGCAAAGCCTGCAGTCTGGGCCTGTGCTCTGCAGAACATTTGTCTGGCACCATGTTGCACTGAGGGCTGGAACTGTCTGGAGGGAATGATTGGGGAGGTCGAGGGTTATGTTTGTTTGTTTCGGGTCTAACTAGCAGATGTGGTCTGGGCTGGGTGATAGCAGAAAAGGCTTCCTTTGGGGGCACTCATGGTGTTCCAGGCAGGATATGAGCACTTGGTATGTTTTCTGTAACTTAATCTTCTTACCAATCCTACAGCATTATTATCTCCATTTCACAGATGAGAAAATTGAGACTTGGGGAGGAAGGAAAGAATTAGCTTCTTCTCCAGGCTCTATGAAATCCCATTTTTGTTCCCGTTTCATGCTGAATTCTGAGCTCTCCTCATCTCGCCCACCAATCTAACAAACTGCTGTACCTCATGGCTCCCAGCTGGGAGAATGAAATAATCTGGGCACTTTTAGAGTTTAGGAGGGTGATCCTAGAGCCTTACCCAGCAGGACAGCAGCACAAAGACTAATGAAGGTATTACTCCTGGTTTGCAGACTGAGTCTAGGAGGACCCAGAAAGACAGGCTGGTGATCTTGGCTGCTACACAAGAATAATGTCAACTGAAGAACCAACAAGTGATTCCTATCAGGAGATGCTTGCTTAAAATTGTTTTAAATGAGAAACATGGGAACCACGTGTAATACAGAGGGCTATAGCAGAGCAAAACTCCAGACCGTGTACTAGGGAAGGGAGGAATTAATCAGCATTTTTTTTATTGGTACCAGGGTTTGAATCCAGAGTCTTGCACCTGCTCAGCTTGCTCATGGCTGGAGCTCCACCACTTGAGCCACACCTCCAGCCCAGCTCTCTGCTGATCATTTTGCAGATGGAGTGGAAATTTTCCCTCTGGGATGGCTTTGAACTGTGATTCTCCAGATCTTAGCCTCCCGACTAGCTAGAATTACATATGCGAGCCACCGGTGCCTGACTCAGCAGCCTTATAATTCTTGGTGGCAGCGAATATTTCTCATAGGACCCCGAAGTGGCTCAGAGCTTTTGGGCTCCCTCTCTGTGCTGAGTACTGGTTCTGAGGTCAGAGTAACTGAATGATTGAGATCTGGTCCTGCCTTCCAGACCCCATACTCCTTCAGGCAAAGAATACGCCCTACCCTTGCGGTGGAGGGGGACTCGATGGCTGGTGAATAATCTGGAGGACAGTTCCATGTCAGATGGTTTCCGCTGCAAGTCACAACGAGCTGGCTGGGTCTCCTTTGGGGATCGGGACTAATGTTTCATGAAGTTTTCATAGGGGAAAAATGAGAACAATCTATTTCAATTACTTTGTAGAAGTCAGATTTGCATAACCGTTTGATGTAATGCGATTCGTGATGGGCTTCCCTGGTGTGTCGGACCCTCGGCCCCGACACGGATGTGGGTCTGGAGGAGCAGACAGACATTCCCTCTACCCGGGAGGAGTGGAGCTGACTCAACCACAAACCTCTGGGCCATTGGCCAGGGATAATGAGGCCAAATGGGTGTGAAAACCCATTTGGGAGGGAGGAAAGGGAAAGAAAGAAAAACATTCTCTTTAATTAATCATTCTTTTGCCAAACTTCAGAGGAAAGCAGTAAGATTAAAATCCATTTTAATAATATAGTCTTCATTAATACAAAATGTAGTTTTGGGCAGACTTTATATCAGAGCTTGCTTTTGGTAGGGGTGGTGGGGGCAGCAGAAGGATAGGAAAGAATATTGCTTGTGTATGTGTGTGTGTGTGTGTGTGTGTGTGTGTATGTGTGTGTGTGTGTGTGAGAGAGAGAGAGAGACAGAGACAGAGACCCTCTTTGAATGAATCCAAAATGACAATATAGAACCACAAGGGATTTCTTAAGCAGCTAGATTCTGACAAAAGCCTGCCCCCTACACCACCTGGTCCTCTATGGGCAGATTTGGGCTGAGCCTATGATCATAAGCAAGTGGTCATGAATGTGTGGTCCCCCCTATGAATGCTTGAGAACCAAAACCACAGTCTTTTAATGCCTACCCTAATTGCAAGGCATTATGGAAGACAGGATGGGAGGGAAGGAGAGAGAAGAGGAGGAAAGGAGAGGGAGGGAGGAATAATGGAGAGAAAACTTCACCTGTATGAGAGGAGCTCCCTGAGCTGTAACTTCAGTTCAGTGTGGCACACAGATACATCTTGCTGGGTCGATTTTTGTTCTTTAAAGAGAGCAGCAGCTCCGAGACTTGAAGGGATGCCCAGAGCAGCTGACCAAAGGCTATCAGCTCTTTAGTCTTGATGCAACCCATTTTTATCAAAGCCTGTGATCGCTGCAGTTGTGTGTCTGTCTCTGTGTGAAACACAAGAGACCCAGCCAGTGTGTTAACAGCAACTCACAGACATCCCCCCTTCCTTCCCACCAACCTACCTCACCGTCGGTCGGTGGGTGCGCGTCTTCCTGAGAAGGCTGTGAATACATAGCTAGTTTTGTCACCGGGGTCCATGTGGCCTCCCGTACAGACCAGGTATACCAGGCCTGAGACAGTGGGAGCCCCACTTGTGGCTGAGGTCGAGGGTAAAAGTGCAGAAGACAGACGCCGCAGACAGGAACAGGAGTCATATGAGACTAGTCAAGGTCAGCCCAGGATCCCTGGCTGCGCACTGCCTGTGGTTCTGTGGCCAAAGGGTACAGCAACTGCCACCACGTCTGCAAAATCCTGTTGTTGGATCCCCTTAAATCTGTGCTCAGTGCACGTGCCATGAGCATAATCTGATAACTCCTAATTAGTGCTGGCAGCAGCTACGTTTGTTTATGATGGTACATAATCAGATTTATGTAATTGCTCTTTTATCAATCACTTAAAACTACAAAACAGGCACAGGGCAGGCAGGAAGAGTGCGCGTAGGAATGCCCTGGCCTGCCAGAGTTCTACCCTTTCCTGCAGCTGCATGACAGGGTGAAAACAAGCAGAAAGGTGCCCTGGAAGAGCTCCATCTTTATCCATCCAAAGCTCTGGGGACAGGGATCCAGCAAAGGGCTAGAGCCTTCATTGTTGTCATTTTGCTCCTGTGACTGATTTGGGATCCATTCGCTGAGTGACGTTTCTTGAGTCCCTAACTCACCTTCGCTTCTTTGTGATGGGGTACAATGCCTTTTTGCGGGGGTCAGTGAGGTAACTTTTTACAGGGCACAGGGAGCTAGGTTGTGCTTCCTTTTGAACTTGCCTTGGAGTAAAGGTATGTAACCATAGGATTTCTCATTTCTTCTGCATGGACAGGGCATGACAGGGACCATGAGAAAAGCTAGGCATGGAAATGTCTAGAACTAGTTGATTGCCTCTCTGTTGATCCTTGGAAAATGACAGCTGCCAGGATTCTAGTTGCTATTTCTTAAACTCCGGCAGATCTCTGAGAAGCCAAATGATTGGTTCCATTCTTGGCACATTGTGGAGTTGCCAGATCCTTAAATCCTGCATCTGGCAAATTGATTTCTCTGAGCACAAATCACACTCTTAAGTACTCCTTTTTCCTTTCCCTCATTTTCTGATTTGAGAATCAGTGTGAAATAACAAAGCTATTTCCAGGCTAGAGTTAATCCCAGCTAGAACAAGCAAATACACAGTGTCCACACAGCCCTCAACCAGGCTCTCCACCTGTCCTCTTTCCTGGGCACTAGAGCCTCTCCTGTCCAAATGGACAGGATGAACGTAGACTCTGAGGTACAAACTGCTCCAAAAGGCAACCTCAGAGAATGCTGTGGGCTTAAAAAAATTTATGACCAAATAATTCCCAGAGGAAAAGAGAGATTGTATTGGTCACACACTATTCCAGTATACTTCACCTCTCTGGGGTCTGTTAAATGGCTGTGGTTCAATCAGCTTCAGGGGGTTGTGCAGAGTTAATGAGATAAAGTAAGAGCACGCTGTCACTGTGCCTGGCACAGACTAGACTTCAACGCTGGCCATTTTCCACCTCAACCCCTGGCACTCATTGCTGTTTGGTACCTGTGTTCTTTTTTTGGGGGGGGGGGTGGTCCAGTTGTAGGGCCTGAACTCTGGGCCTGGGCGCTGTCCCTCAGCTCTTCAGCTCAAGGCTAGCGCTCTACCACTTGAGCCACAGCACTACTTCCGGCTTTTTTCTTTTTGCTTATGTGGTGTTGAGGAATCGAACCTACGGCCTCAGGCATGCAAGGCAAGCGCTCTACCACTGAGCCACCTTCCCAGCCCTGGTACCTGCATTCTGTGGTATCTGGCCATCAGATCACAGAACAGACACTAGACAGATTCCAGGAAGAAGTGAGTTGTTGGTTCTCAAGGCTCCTGGGCTCTTCTCTTGTGAGCTAGGCTGTCCCCAGGTTGAGCATTTCTGGTTGAGGCTTCTGTTTGATCCAATCCAGCATGCATGAAGACAACCAGATAAACATTGTTAACTAAAAATCTCATTGGGGTAATTTTGTGACTTAATAATGCATTGATTTGTATATATGGTGCACGCATGGGTGCATGTGTGCGCCTGTGTGTGCATGTGTGTACACACATGCACATGCGCTTGGCTTCCAAGCAAACACACACTCAACACACATTTACTCTCTTCTGGGTTGAACATTGACTCTACATTCCCAGAACTCGCTGGGGAAGCAAGCTTAATGCACAAGAAACTTTTGAGAGCAGCAGATGTGGGACACGAAGGCATAGAGTAGGCACTTCACCAACGTTTTAAAAATATTTTTTTTCACAAAACTATGTTCAGTGTTCACTGGAACAGTTGGAGAAGGGGATAAGGATCGAATATGCTTTATGCTAATGAAAAGCCTTGCAATAATTAAATGTGTGCTTCATCGAGGTCCCCCAGGACATCCTGTTTATGGAAAAGTCCCCAGAGATCACTTAAGAGATTAAAATGATTTAAAAAGGAAAAGTGTTTAAGAGAAAAATGGAAAATCATGGTCCTATCATCAATGAGAAATCAACAGTAACACAATGTGCCTCTGTACAGAGGGAGCTCTTGTTTTGGGAAGTTAAACACTGCTTAGAGAAATGAGGAAAAGACTTAGTAGAAAGCATGAGGAGTATTCATTTGTGCTTATATATAGAAAAAAACACATTAATATCACTGGGGTCTGACTGCAACAGAATGGTAAGTCCTGTTAGTATTCTACATTCCCAGTTGTGTGTGTGTCTGTGTGCGTGCATGCACATGTATGTATATCTGTTAAGAGATCACATTTTATGCACAAAATTTTCATATGATATGAAACAATTCTCATACCATTAAGATGTCCTGGGGCTGGAAAGGTGGCTCAGTGGTAGAGCACTTGCCTTGCATGCATGAGGCCCTGGATTCCATTCCTCAGCACCACATAAGCAGAAAAAAAAAAAAAAAAGCTGGAAGTGGCGCTATGGCTCAAGTGGTAGAGCACTAGCCTTGAGCTGAAGAGCTGAGGGACAGCGCCCAGGTCCAGAGTTCAGGCCCCATGACTGGACCCCCCCCCCCCCAAAAAAAAAGATGTCTTGGAAATGTATTTTTAAATGAT